TAGTTGTAAGTATAACATACCCGTGTAATGATTAACTAAAATGCTATCATGAAAGAATTTGTTATAGAGAATGAGCTTTCTTGCGCATCTAAACTTTCAAAAGGTACGCATGCATTAGCGGTTTGGGACCGTAATAATTAAATTACATATCATTCACAGATACTTTTATGATTCCACAAAATCAATTATTCTTCCATAGAAATACGTAAATATAAAAAATATTTATTTCTACTACAAAACTAAAAAAGTCATAAAGAGTGTAAGGATGATTGCTTTTCAAACAAGTTCTTATAGGTTGTAATGAATTGTTTACGCTATGAGAATGAGAACGCGAGGAAACGTGTCTTGTAATGAATCTCAAAAACTATGACTTCACAAGGTTTTGAGATGTAAGAATAGTGGAGTTATGAAGTAAAAGATTTATTTATTATTCTTTAATTTTTTTTATTTTGACACTTGATTTAACCTTATTTGTGGAAGTAGACATGTTAGAACAGGTCACATTAAAATTTTAAATTTTGTGCATAGATTAACGTGGCCATTTCCTTAGTCATATATATTTATGCAAACGTGTCAAGAATGGATTATAATATTCCCCAATACTTGTTTTGGCCTTTTGGGTAGTTCCATGGGAGCTATGCTGTAATAATTGATGTTTATCTCCCGTCCTTGTTTCTTGCAGCAAATTATAAGCAACGTTGGAATTATATATCATAATGTCATAGTTAAATATCATGGATCATTAAATACTAAAAAAAAAAAATATCATGGATCAATATAAAAATCATAATGATTGTAATTAAATTCCATAATGATTCAGTAAATTGTGGACGAAAGAGGTTAAAATGGTTGATGTGGGTGAAAGGAAAAGAAATTCTTTAAGCACAAAGAAAAATAAGGAATTTAAGTAGAAGCTAGGTGAGATCATGTTGTAATTGAAGGGAACTAAAGTGGCAGTTTTAGAGAGATTCACATGACTTGTATTCACACACACACACAAATTATTCCCAGGACAGATGTTGGGCTCTCATTATTTGCTAGCCAGACTTATATATTATAAATATAAAGATGGACTGAAAATGACATAAAGAGAAACTTCAAGAGAAAAAGATCCAAGAAGATAAATACAACACTCAGTGTTTGACGTTCTCCCTCCCTTGATTAATTGCTTTCTAATTTTTTAAGGATAAGGATTTAATGTTATTAAGGTTATATAAGATAAAATTATCTCGTATACAAATATAAAAATATATGAAATTTATATACGATGATAAAAAAAAAGAGAAGTAATTTTATTCGCTGGGAAAATTAATTAAACCCTTTTTTCCTTTCTTAAAACAGATATTTAACTTTGGGTTTCTCAAGTGTGTTCTTTATTTTTCTCTGTTCTATAATTTCTATCGAAAGTATATTTTAATTCCTAGTTAATTCTTAAATGGATTTTTTTTAATTAGTCAATATTAATCTCCATTATCGCGTGATTTTATAGAAAATCTTATGTTTTTGCAAAATAATCATTTGCATGTTTATTGACTACACTTATTACGAACTGACATGAAGAATGCAAATTGGCTAATGATCAATCTTCAATTATCGATTGTTATAATCAGTGGTCATAGTTTTGTAGTCATTTTGATATTATAGCAATACAGAGGACTATTAATCAATCATTTCGACAGAATTTCTCGTTGGTACTTACCATTTTCAAATGATCTAGGTAACCTAATCTCAATAAATATTAAATAAATATAAACTCTGTATTTATCTTTTCTATTATATATATCATATATGTGAAATTTATTAGAGTTTACAAAATTTTAACTTGAAAATTTGACCATGTGAAATCTTAGGGAATCAATTCGTTTAAGTTTTATTTTTTTGTTTTTTTGGGTATCCCGTTTCAGTTTTATTTTAGCATGAAAAAGTTCAAATAATCATTCAGATATTAATTAAAAAAAAAACTTTATATTACTAACTTTCTCATTAATATTATAACCGTTAATATACTAATAAATAGTAGAGAGTTTTAATGATATAATTATGTTAAAACAAGTAAAAGAAGATTTATCCTGAATTTTTTTTCCTTTTTGATATGCTGATTCTAATTATCGTTTTGAGGCAAGTCAGCTTTAGATATTCCCACAAATTTTAACTCTTCAAATTATTTATGAGACTAATCCCGAATAAAAACTTAGTTATAATTAAAACATTTCATCCCTTCTCAAAAACATATTTGGTAGCATGTTATTTTTCCACTTAACTTTGAAAGATGTATTCTCTATTGAAGATAGTACAGCTGTAATAACTTAAAAATTTATAGCACAATGAGCATCAGTTAGAGCAGGGTTAACTGGCAATAGTTTTATATGGTTTGGCTTCTCATTTAGTGATCTCCTGCGTCAATGTTAGCTTTCTCTTCACTATGTTGAGTGACTTAACGGGTATACATGAATTCTTCTTGCAAGTTACTCTTTGAATTACAAGTTTATTTCAACAACAACAACAATAATAATACAAGTTTATAGTTCCTTTTCCACCAGCATGGAGTATTGGATTTTTGGGTCTAAATTTCATTAATTATGAATAAGAAATTTGATTTCAAAAGATGTATTTTTTTGTTGTCGAATGAATGTGTTTTTTATGTCAAATTGATATGTCTTTTTATGTCGATCGAATGTGTTATTTCATCTACAAGAAGGTTACCTTTTGAATTTGAATCGTGATGTTATATTTTTCGTAAATATATAGAGTTCAGAAAGTGCACTTTAATTGTAGATTTAATTATATCATTTTTATTGTACGGATTCAAAAATTTTGATGATTATTCACCCTCTCTCTTCGACAACACGGAGACCCAAACCAAATTGGTTGTCACAAAGCCATGTCGGTGAGTATTTTAATAGAAAAGCTTATATTAAAAATTATTTTTTATTTTATTTTCCTGACACAAGTATCCGACAAATGTAAAAACCACGCCATAAGGGTCTAAAAAGTTCATTAAAAAATTACTCTTAAGTCTTATCATAGCATTGAAATTTTCAATTAGAGCCTTTCGCGTACAAATAAGAAATTGGTTTTCGTGCAAAAAGAGCATTACTCTAACCAACAGATCGATACCCAATTATGACTGATATGTCCTATAAATGGAAAAAGGGAAAACTCCGCTTTATACAAAAAGAATGTGCTATATTAGAGAATATGTATGCCAGCTTAATATAGAGATTCACAAAAACTTAAACCAATAATATTAATTGTCGCGAACCTTTTAATTAGTATATATAAAATAAAGAACTTTCTATTTTCATAAATGGTTCAAAATTAGATATTACCATCAGTTGATAACAAAAAAATCAGCAAACAGTTTAACCACATAAAAAAAAAAAAATACCATTTTTGATCCTCAGCAAATTTTACGATACTCGCCTTAGTCTCTAGTAAATGGAAAAGCTCATCGTGGTCCTTAAGAAATTCAAAATGGATACCTTTAGTTGAAATTATAATCTCTCACAAATTCAAAAAAGACTCATATTAGTCCTCAAAAAGACTAAAATAGATCTATTTTGAATTTCTTAGAGACCACTATGAACCTTTTTATTTGCTAAGGACTAAAGTGGACATCATAAAATTTGCTGAGGACCAAAAAAAATATTTACTCAAAAAAAAATTATCGAGCAAACTTGAAAATTGAAGAGCTTATCTAAAGAGAAGTTATATAGAAATTTAGATGTTGTCAATGAGACACATTTGATAAGAGACACTTAATAAAAGGGAAAGTTCTCAGAGAAACAAAGCAGACACGTTTCTCAATTTAACCATTCATTGTTACGGCAAAAGTCCAAATATGAAGGTACTAAGCTTTAGACAAAGATAATTTGACAAAAGACGTTGTCCTTGGGACACGATACACACTTGACAAATCACAAATAAACAACTCATGAACGCCGACGTATTATCGATCGGTTACATTATATTCTTCTTAGAACAATACACACTACGGGTATCCGGCCTAAGCTGCCATATATCTTGACACCTTGACTCCTTCAAGCTACCAAGCTGAGGGACTCCTGTTCCGGATGCTATTTTCTAGGCCCACCAGATGGGCCCAATCTCTCAAAGCCCACATTCTAGAACCTTCTAGAGGACACCCATGGGAAGCCATAGAGACTCACCACTAAGACATTCTCCATCATGCACTGCTGCTGCTGCCCCTGTACACTGACAGTGGACAGCTTGATGAGACAGCTCATGGGCTGACCAGCTCAAGCCCCCATGAAGAGAGGACTCTCCTCTCTAAATACCCCTCTCACACATGGAGAGAGGAAGTTCTTCTCCACTCAGCCACTACGGCTGTGACTAAGGAGAGTCACCTTAGCCACTTCCACACACAACCCCCCTTATGCACCATGGGAAACTCCACTAGTGCTTGGTCTCTACCATTGCCACTATGAACACCCCCTATATCAACATACTTTACCCTCAATGGGAGACATCTATGTAACACTATGAGTACAGATTTCATGTACCTTTAATTTCAATGCAATGGAATTAATATTTCTCGTCATTCCCATTGATACAAGTTCGTCTTTGATGTATCTTTAAATTCTTGCTCATTTACTTATACTGTTGTTTTACATTCAACACTTTGCTTCCATTGCCTTTATATTTGTCAGCACCTTTACATTTTTGCACATTTCTCTTGCTACACCCTGCATTTTTGCACTTCATCTTTCTATCAATTTACTTCTGGGTAATGCCTGAATCACTCTATTCTTTTTTCAAACTTAGTAAATTAAGATTGGTAGTGGGCATAGAGAGTGAATCCTCTCATGTCATTTGACCTTGTGAGACAATGGCTGTAGTCTATAAACAAGTCAACTATTATTCTTTCCTGATGCTTTCTCGGATAATCGTTGATTTGTATATAAATATCAAAAATCATCCACATAAAATCATGTGACATGAGATGATTCATTCCGGTAATGGGTAATATGTGTATGTATGTATGTATGTTTTTTGTGTGTGTGTGTGTGTGTGTGTATATGTGGGGTGGGGAGTAGAATGCTTATATTACAGTAATGTGTGTGTAATTTCATTCAGAAACAACTAATTTACACAAAAGGAAAGCAGTACTCAAAATATACATGCCTGTTCTTCCTCCCAAAACCCAACTTCAACAGAAACCAACATTTGGCTATTACCACTAATATTAAAATTAGCAAGAGAGAAGACTATTTGCTGCCAAGCTTCACTGCAGCTTGAGGATATTATCTGATAAAAATAAACTCTTTAACTACCCTCAAAATCACATGATAAGGTTGTTAGTTCAAACCTTGAGATGATGACCTAGCTGACGATGACTCACCCAATGAAACAGAAGCCAGAGATGAAGCCCAAACCTGGGCACTCCTTGCCCTTTCATGAAAACTCCTGGTCTTGCATAGTCTTAGCTTGGTCCAAATCCTCCTCACATCAATCGCGTGAAGCACACGCCCCATCACTTGGCTTGTCTCACCAAATATTTGCATGTTCAGATGAGGAACACATGAAACCCAGAATGCTCGGAGACGCAATACGATCTTGGGAAACACAAAAAGAAGTATCCTCAAACAGAGAAACAATACTGAGAACACGAAGTAGGGTTCCTTGCTTGATGTTTCTCTCAGAGACAAACCCATCAATGACTTTGTAGTTGGATTCTCATCACTCAACATACTGCTTAGTTGACCAACAACAACATCACTATTTGCTTTGAATCCTGAGACATGCAGACAGGTCAATGGAGGCATGAGCTTTACATGATAAGATTATGGGTAATATTTTTCTTATATTGCATAAGAGAAATATTATCTCCTACACTCACATTTTTTAAATGGGTCCTACAAGATTTTTTTTCTCTCACCTTCAACTTTTTTCTCTCTCTTATTTATTGTTTGAGTAGGAGATAATACTTCTCTTATGCAACATAAAAAAAGTATTACCCTGAGATTATTATCGGTTATTGAAGTTTCTCAGAATTCACCTGAGTTGTTAATCAAGGTAAAATATGGCTGTCTTAAATAATCCATTGGAAATTTACAAAAAAGATTCAGGATGTGCTTACCGGTGTTTCTCTCATAAAATCCCAAAAGGGAGAGAACATCTTTTGGACCATGATATCTCAACCTTGATGTCTGGTTCACCAGCAATATAGCAGGCAAGCTATGGATTCCATATTTTGAATATAAGCTGCAAAGAAAAAAAATGCAGACATCAACATACATTTATAAAGGTAGGTAACTAAGTATGCTAATCTCTCAGGATTTCACATTCATATATAACATACAAAGTACAAAAGGAAAAATATATTCAAAATTGCTTAAATCACACTAGCCTAACCTTGGCAAAGCTGATGATTGCTCAAGAGCAAAATGTTCCACTTGAGGAAACATGGAACTAAGAATTTCAAATTTAGGAAGCATTCTGCGTGAAAATGGGCACCAGGAAGCATAGAAGAGTATGGAAATATATTCAATCCTCTTTTTGCCAGACAAAATTCCTTCTATGAAATTTCCATCCACCTGACAATTCAAAATAAAAAACTAAATATATGTCACCATAATATGCAAATTGGTATAAGTTAACAAAACACACAACCAGAGAAGTCAACAAATAAAATAAAATCTTTAAAACATTTAATTAATTGCTCAAACTGTGAGGCTGAAAGACAAATAAGCATTTTGGGGAACTCTAAATCACAACAATGCAACGATAGGAAAAAAAAACACAAATATTTCTCCAAAGTCCAAACCAAATTTGTCCCTTTTTCCATCACAAAAGAAGCTTTTCCGGAAATTCAAGTGCGGGTGAAGAAATCATATATTGGAAAGGAATGAAGTAATTAAGAACCATGAACCTAAAAATTGGGCGTTGTGTCAAGATGTGATGTTAAGCCCACAACTATCATTCCTAGCTAACCACATAAAAAGGAGACCTCCCAAATCTTTTGAGCTTGACCCGATATGTGACCTGACCCAATAAACCCATGGTGCAACCAAATAAGGAATTTATGTGTCGATTTAATTCAATAGCTAAGTTAATCACATAATATCTTTCAACGTGAGGCATTTGGAGAATTAGCATAAGGATTTGAGTGTTGAACATTTATTCCTTGAAATCTTCATTAGCTTCATATTGCTCTTGGAAGTAGGCCTATGGTTCACTGTTGGTTTAACCAAGTTAAATTTTGTGTTGATTTCTCTTCTTAATTTCAGCTGAGCATATACTTTCAATAAGTTACCTTCTGCAACCAAGTTCCATGCACACCCAAGTTGATTTGGCCCCCCTCATGGGTTAATACAACAACCATAAAAAATAAACCACATTTTCCATGTCAACAAAAGATGACACGATTGAATTAACATCACCTAATGGGGTAAGAACTAAAGTAAGAAGTATATAGGTAATGGATGGTTGGTAAACAGCTTCTTTAGGAAGAAAGAGCATGGCTTTTCAATTGGTTAGTTATCCATTGAAGAGAAGAAACAGAGTAGTAGTGGTGGTATTATACAATCCCATTCCATGGTTTTACGAAATCAAATATTAGAGCAAGCATTTCTACTTAATCCTGAGGATGTTATAGTCCCTATCGTCATCCTTATGATTTTGGTGTTCAAGATCAACAACATAAATGCCAACGGAGCAGAGGTCAATTTACTCAAAACAATCATTTATTTTCATCAACTGAAAGTAACAAGACATATTAATGAACTACTACGATTCTGGGTATGTGAAATTTTAAGTGGGTCATCTCTTGGTTGTCAATGACAGGTTTTGCAGTACATACGAGTTCAATTAACCATCTGACCAGGAGATGAGAATGTACTGTCAGTGAGGAGACCCAACAAATAACCCAAGGGGGAGTGTGGGGGAGGGGGGAAGAGGAAGAATATAAAACAATGCAGTTTATTTGGTTTGCATCTATTTTCATCAATGGGATTCCTTTTAGGGGCTGAGTCAGAGAAAAAAGGGAAAGGAATCAGTAGTTTATCAATGGAAGAGAAAAAAAACTATTTTTTATTAGTCAGATCAAGCCTAATTACTTGTTCATATGCTTTCTGTTAGATTTGCCATTTCTTATCAAAAGATGATGGGAAAATGATCACATGCAACTGTAGGACTAGAAAATTTTCTACATACACAAAACACCTGTGCTTCTTAAGTACTAAAATACCAACACATGTAACACTATTCAATTCCAACTAGTCATTACTGATCAGTATTCAATCCAAAAAAAAAAAGTTCCCAAAAGCCGTAGCACTTAGTTGCTTAATCAATAGCAATCTTTTGCTAATATGTGATTCAAAAGTTCAGTTTGATACATTGCAGATCTCACATTCCAGAAGGACAGATTGAAAATGATGACCAACCAATGAGCTATGATCCAGTTAAAAGGAAAGACAAATAGAAATCACGGTCCACAGTGATTAAGGCTCATAGCTGAAGCAAATTTATTCACAAGAACAAATAGTATTATCTAGGTAATATGAAGATTTCCAATACACTCCTTTTGGTATTTTGAGCTTCTGGTAAAGTTGACTGATTTCAAGCAATGAATATAGCATGTGTTAGATAATCAATTTTGCACTAGATCTTAGTTTAATTACATGCTTATCATATTTCCAAGCATATGACCAATGGGTCATGTAAAGGTTCAACAAATGCAAACTACATTCAAGAAATTATTTAAACGAGCGTGTATAACTGACTTAATGGTCAACTTTTGTAGTAAAATGAGAAGTTTTAAAATATCCTCTGTTTTCTTGACTTTAAACAACATTTTGTTTTTGTTACCCGGTTATGTAACTAAAGGTTTAATAGAATGGCAACTAAATTGACGACATTATTTGGAACTACAGTTACAGTGTGAATTACTTGATTGACATCATCAAAATGTTGTCTATTTTCTTAAGGAAAATATAATCATCATTCACAAGTTTTCACCGGAATTTTTTTCCCCAGAACAGAGTTACCACGATGGTGTCTCATCGAGTGGTTAAGAAGATGCTAGAGAAGATCATAGAAATTAATAGCATTATATTTGCCAAGTTACATATGCATGGCATATAATCGGTAAAACATTTCATAGTAAAAGTTAAAAATGAGAAATTAATGCAATCTCCACATGAATCAAAGCTATAATTAATACAATATATTATCACAAGTAAAATAATTTCAAGGATATTTAAGGATCACTCTCTAGATGTTTACTAGAGGACCCCAAATGGAGGTAATTTGTTCTTAACACCAGTGTTTTAAAACCCCGCCCCTCCCGAGGTTGACTCTGCCAGGTCACTGACCCCCTCTCTCTGAGGGTTAGGGTCAACAGTTAGACCCTGCATGTACGTTGACCCTTCTGACCCCTCAAAAACAGCCCGAGTCTCGATGACTCCCAGGTTAGAGGGATCAGAGGGGGTCACTGCATTTTATTTTTAAATTTACATATGAAACGACGTCATTTGGTGTGTAAAAACAAAAACTCGTTGCTACCTAAATCTAGAACTAGATCTGAAATCTGAATCGTTCATCTACTTCTCTTCCAGACCCAGACCCAATCTCCCTGATTCGGTGACCTCCTCCGCCTATCCTCCGTCATGGTGGTGGTTCCTCCAATCCTCTTTGGTCTTCTCTCTCCCTCTCCTCCCTCGTGCTAGTTCTTCTCTCCCCACCATTGATTCGTTGCGCCGCCACCTCTTCTCCGTCGTTCTCTTTTGGGTAATGGATCTCATTTCACATAATATTGTATAATTTTTATTCATGAGAATCATGACGTCAATTTTCAGTTGTTGCTGTTTGTGACTTCAAATGATATAGAGAAGTTCATTCTGGTATTGCAAGAAGCAGCAAAATTTTTGAAGGGGAAGGACGACAATGGTGGAGAAGGACAAGGAGGGCTTGAATCTGATGATATAACTTTTCATTAACTCCATTGGAATGTGTTTTATACTTTGATACTTTGATACTTTGATTATAATATTAACTTGTGGATGTAATTGGTTGAATTATGTTAAATATATTTTGAATCTTTGATGATTGGTAGTTTGATTTTTTTGAATTTTTCATATATGATATATATTTATATTTTTTTAATATATAAAATCGGGTCAGCGAAGTAACCCCGTGACCCCCCGATTGAACCCGTGAGCCCTGACCTCGGCCAAGTCGATAGTCGGGCCAAGTTTTTAAACAATGGTTAACACCAATGAAACCATGCCACCCAGTAAAAATAATCAACTACAAACAACACAAATGGTATACTTATCTAGATGTTAGTGAAGGCTTTAATTAATTCCCAGATGGTAAATTAATTCCTGCGAAGGCTTTAATTAGATCCCAAATCTTAAACTCACAATAATTACTTCTCTAAATGTTTTTTCTTAACAAGCCAACTTCTGGTTTGATGCCGTAGGATCCAACAAAACTGACCCTGATGTACCAATTCAGCCAAAAGCACAAATAGTACAATAGTTAATTGCTTCCAAGCAATAACCATATTCATGGTTGTCCTCCTCAAAAGTGGTAATACAAATCTTCAATGTCCAAGCAGTACAATGAATTCAATTGCTTGCTACCAATTATAAATAAATAAATAAAACAAAATTAGGAAATTATCCCAACATGTTTTCCTTCAGTTTTATATCATTGTCAATAGTCCAAATTCAGGAAATTTCAAAAAGATTCCCGGCAAGGAATTGTCTTTGTTAATTGTTATTTCAAGATGTGAACCTGATTCCCCATTTTCACATCATAATCAAACAATAACCCCAGTTCTTCAAACTAGCAAAACATTGAAACAAAATTCAATAAATCAAAAAAAAAAAACAAAACAAAACAATATAAACATCCAGAAATAAATAAATAAAAATAAAAGCTACCAACCAATCAATACCCATCACGAAAATTACCCCCAAAAATGAAAAATGAAAAAGGGGGCAAACTTGAAATCAGAGAAAGAGGTACCTGAAGTGGTGGATTCGATTGGATCAAGATGGGGCACTGAGATTGAAGATTATAGAGAAACGAAGGAGGCTCGGGAAGGCACAAAGGGGGAGAAGAAGACGCAGATGAGGAAGATGCAGATTGAACCAAAGACATAGCAGTCAAACAAAGGAGAAGAAGCGAAGAAGAAGCCATGGATGGAGGAGAAGACGCCATTGAAGAAGGGTATGGAGAGTAAATACAAGACGAACAAAAGGGTAAAAAGGGGAAACAAAAAAAAAAGACTTTTGGTGTCTCGCGGCGGCGGTGACGGTGACGGTGGCGGTTGTGAAATGAAATGGATGAGGTTAGGTTTGGACGTTTGGTTTGGTTTGGTTAAGTTAGGTTGGGTTGGGTGATTTGGTTCTAAGAAAAGAGAGGCAAAGGACAGGGAAGAAACCTTTTCCAGCTCGAAATTGGAATGATGGATATATTTATGGTTCTGGTTATGCACTTTCTCTCTCTTTATCGGAAATTCGGATACTATAGCTTTCTCTCTCCTACTCCGAGTATACCTCGTGTGTGCTTGCTTGCATGAGCATCATTTTTTTATAGCATTTTTTATATATAAAAAAAAAAAAACATATATGTCAAATAACAATGTTATTAAAGTAGTAATATGGAGATGAAAAGGAAAGATAATTTAGTTTAATTTGAGCATAAGTTGCTTGACCAAATAGTGTAGTTCCCACGCAAGACTTTTTCTTCTTATGATTAGTAATCTTCATTATATTTTTTTTAGTACGAATAATCTTCAATATATTTTATAGTTGAATTGTATAATATTTTGTTTGTCAATTTTTTTTTTATAAAATAAAGAGCATTTTTATGTGATTTATATGCTTAGTGTATGAATTTTTTTAATTTTTTATAAAAGTGGAGGGCAAGGCCCAAAGAAATTATATAGAAAGATGTTGCATGTCAAATGTCACATGCTCCATAAGCAACTTAGATCTAAAAGCATTCCAGAATGAAAAAATAATAACAGTGGGAGAGGAACAAAACATTAACTCTTCAACCTGGAAAGTAAAATCTAGTTTGGCTAAACTATCCGCACAATCATTATATTCCCTAGGAATATACTCCAAGTGAAGATGATCAAAAATCTGAGTAGCATTTTTTATTCGACTTATCAAAGATGAAAAACCACACAGATCTGATTGAGTCTCTAAACAGAGTAGAGCTTCTTTGCAATCACTTCCAAGCCAAATATTAGAACAATTCATCTTACCAGCAAGCTTGAGACCTTGAAGCAAGCCCTACAGTTCAGCTTCCAAGGCAGAGCAGGGGCCTATGTTCAAGGCAAAACCACTCATCCAAACTCCAGAGGAAGCAAATGAAACCACCACAGGCACCTTTATTACTACATATACTGAAAGCTCCATCAACAAATAACTTGGTACTGGTATGATAGTCATACTTCCCAGAAAAATCAGGGGAGCTAGGTGATTCAGGCACAACCGAAAAAAGGTCAGCACTACTACTATTCTTCATATCAACCTGGTATAACAGAATTCGGTGAATTGGATCTTGAGACCTAGAGAACAGCTCGTCGAGAATTGTAGAATTTCTCCATTGCTAGAGAAACCAGCACACATAAAACACTTATTTCCAAGAAGGCCAGAAATTCATGAAGATTGGTTGAAAAAGATTGAGTTTAAACCACTCTAGACCATCTGCAGCAAAAAATTAGGTGGAGTATTTTCAGAAAACCATCTCTCCCAAATATTCCTAGCAACATTACAATCTCTAATAGTATCGATAATTGTTTCTTGGCAAATATGACAAGAAGGACAACGAAAATCCCCTCCACTCCAGTGACAAGTTTTGTTTCTGACAGGAAGTTTGTTCAAGCAAGCCATCCATAAGAAGACTGCAATTTTGAAAGGCCATTTCCACTTCCAAATTGTAGACCAAAGTTTATCCCTACAAGTGTTAGTCTCTGTTAGATGGCAATAGGCATTTTTCACAAAAGATTTACTTGGGCTACTCCTCTTCCAATTAAAGCAGTCAGCAGTATCACTAGAGGCAGGAGGAGCAAAAGCTTTCAGCTTGTTGAGAGTTGAATTATCAAAAAAGGCTAAAAGATAATTCCACTTCCAATCACCTGTAATAGGATCAACAATATCATGAACTTTGTATAAAGGATTAGAAGTAGGGGGTGTATATAAAGCAAGGTCGAACAAGTTGCTTTGCCATCCTCCCCAACAGTCAGTCCAGAATAAGATAGATCTACCATTACCAACCAACCACTCTAAATGTTGAAACATTTTGTTTCTGGTTGTACAAATATTCTTCCAAAGAGAAGAATCACTATTTTTTGCAATTAAGCTACGGTTGTGATCATGATTCCTACCATACTTTCCAAATAACACTTGGGCCCAGAGACTGTTATGGTCATTAATAAGTTGCTAAGCAATTTTTTGCATAAAAGCTTTATTTTGGGTTCTAAGATTGATGATGCCTAGACCACCACATTGCTTAGGAAGGCACATTTGTTCCCAAGCTGCATAATGGGCTCTTCGTTTAGAATCTGAATCTCCCCAAATAAAACTACGTTGTAGTTTTTCAATATCTTGACAAACATGAATGGGGAGTACATTGTTCTGCTTGTGAAAGCAAGGGATAGCTAAAATAACACTCTTGGCTAAGGTGATTCTCCCCGCAAGAGATAAGCACTTAGATTTCCAGCCATGGAGCCTATTCTACACTCTAGAGATGACATTAGCATAACGGTCCTTTTTCACTCTACCATGTCTCATCAGAGAGCCTAAATAGCAACCAAGATTGTTGACCTTTTTGAAGCCACTAACAGTAGAAATAGCATTCGCAGTATCCATTGGCACATTCTTAGAAAAATAAATGCAAGATTTTTCTACGCTCACGCATTGGCCAAACATCTTTGAGAACTTATCTAGACAATGAATAATAGAGTTCAGTTGACTAAGAGAAGCTTCAGCAAAGAGAATGATATCGTCAACAAACATTAGGTGAGAAATATGGGGGCCAGATTTGCCAACTTTAATCGGAAGCCAATTCTTCATCTCCACTTCATCCATGATTAAATAGGTGAGTTTCTCCATGCATAGTAGAAAAAGATAAGGGGGGATAGGGTTCCCTTGTCTAATTCCACGCTGAAAATGGAAACCCGGGGTTCTAGCACCATTCCAAAGGATCTCCAGGTAAGGACTAGTAACACAACCCATGATAGCTTCGACCATATCACCTGGTAACTTCAGATCACATAGAACTAATATGATGAAATCCTAGTTAAGCTTGTCATAAGCTTTCTCTAATTCAATCTTGATGGAAAAGAATCTTTTCTTACCTTGCATTCTATGCATAGAATGAACAAGTTCTTACACAATGATGATATTATCCTGGATGTGCCTCTTAGAAATAAAATTGACCTGATTAGGAGAAATAAGATTCCCAAGAAGAGGTTTAATTTTGTTAGCTAGAATTTAGCTAAGCCCCTAATAAGTTGTGTTACGAAGAGAAATAGACCTAAATTGCTTCATCAAACACGGTCTGTCAATTTTGGGAATTAGAACAATAAGCGAGTGATTTATTTCTCTAATCTGATCCGGAAGATGAAGATAGAAAATCATACTGTGATAGATTTGGGTTTTGAGAAAATCCCAATTCCTATGATAAAATAAAGCAGGGAATCCATCAGGGACAAGGGCTTTCAGAGGGGCCATTAGGAAAAAAAATGCTTTTTCACTTCATCAAGAGAAATATTTAAGGAAAGCAAGTCAATTTGGTCCTCCATGAAAGCTGGCCAAGTGTTTCTGGTTTGGTGCCAAATTATATCATTAATTCCCTCCTTGAAAAGATTTTGAAAGAAGTCACGAGCTAGAGAATTAGCTTTTCCTCTCCAATCACCCAGTGACCAGCATCATTTTGAAGCTTTACTGTTTTATTTCTTTTTCTACGAATTAAAGTCCTGGTATAGTAGAAATGGGTGTTTCTATCACCATCTCTAATCCAATCACCCCTGGATTTTTATACCAAATCTGCTCCTCATGATCTAGAATATTCGTGAGCTCATTCCTCAGATTAGCTTCCAACTTCTCTAGATGATAGCTACCTTTAGTACTGAGCTGTTGTTGTATGCCATCAATTCGAGCAAAAACTATATTTTTCTTATGGTGTGTAAACCCAAAAATATTTTTATTCCATTCCTTTAACAGTGGAATAAAGGAATTCAAGTTGTCTAAGAGGTCAGACGAAGAGTTCCAATTGGCTTTAAGAAAGGGGCTAAATCTAGGGTCATTTTGCCAAGTAGCCAGAAATTTAAAAGGCCGATTCTGCCAACAAGTATCCTCTTTTTCCAATCTAATCAGAATTGGGCAGTGATCAGAGAAAAGAAAAGCCTAGGGAGAGTTATGACATCAGCTTCCTCAAAGGCAGCTCTCCAAGAATCATTAGGCACTGCTTTGTCAAGTCTTTTATAAACCCAATCTAAGTGGAGGATTTTAGGCCCTTTCCAAGTGAATCTATTTCCACCACCTGCCAGGTCCAAAAGACCACAAGCACTGAGGACATTGCAAAACGATTACATCGATTATAGTCCATAGGGCCACCTCTTCTTTTCTCAGAAGCCGAAGAGATCTCATTGCAGTCCCCTGAGATAAGCCAAGGATCATTCATATTTCTCCCAATATGCTTCAGCTCTTCCCAAAGAAATCTGCTTTTATCTTCTTGGGCATTTGCATAAATAGCCGTCCAACAAAAACTTCTCTTGTCAGGAAGCTCAACCCAACAATGAATGAATTGGTCGTGCTTCATAAGAATAGTAACATTTATTTCATTGGGATTCCACATTACCCAAATGCCACCAACAAAACTGTAAGCATCAGCAATAGCCAATAAGGTAATTAGAGAAACCTAAACTACAAATAATATTGATAGCTATTTTACCACTAGCACTAGGTTCCAAAATAGCATCCATTCCAACCCTTATTTCTTACGGAATCTATTGAAGGTACTCTTGAATTATTTTTTTGCAGCACCCCTATAGTTCCAAGTAAGAACATTCATAAGGAAGTTTGGGGTTGTTGTAAGATTGTGAAGTTCTTGCTACTCAAATCTTGTGCTTCAACAGTAACTTTTAGAAGTTCAACAATTCCCTCAACACAATCAGTAACAGTTATGTCATTAATGGATTTAGTCAGAGTTGGACAATGAGACGAATCCACTTCCATACCTGGTTGCGCTTCTACCATCTTTGAGGATTCTCCCATAACTTGGTCAGGAGTAGAGTTATAAAATACCATGGTATCAAAAACTTGGTTATTGATGGGCTATTTAGAGCTACTAGCCAAAGAAAAAGGTTGAACTACCACAATTGAGTCAAAACATAAATTGTCTTTTTGTTGCCCAAGAGGAATTTGGGTTGAGTTCAGATTGGAATCTTGCAACTTTGAGCTACTTCCTGAAGAAAATTTTGAAAGGGGAAGGTGGTGAGCTACTTTTTCCTATAACCGAAAGAGACCTAGAAGAAGATT